ACCCTGACCTGCAAACTCATATGCTACGTTTAGACTGGCAGGATTTTCCGCAAATGCTTTTACCGGAAAAGTTTTCTGTTAAAAGCATTTGCGGAAAAGAGCGTCTAGATTGGCACAGACGCTTTTGCGGAAAAGTGTCCATGCCAATCTAGACGCGGTTTTGCATAAGAAAGCCCCAGTCGCCATTTTTGCCATCGGGGCTTTTTTGCGCAAAACAAATCTGAGCTGTCTACACTGGCCCTTTTGTGCAAAAGCTTTTGCAAAACGGGAGCCCGAACGGGAGCAACATAGTATTTCCACAAGAAGCACTGATTTCAGACAGTAGGAAGTCAGTGTTCTCATGGAAATTCAAGTGGCCAGTGTAGACAGTTGGCAAGTTTTTCCGCAAAAGCAGCTGCTTTTGCGAAAAAACTTGTCCATCTAGACACAGACATACAATTTAACGTTCTTGTACGAACTTCTGACAGTAGGACAAGAAGTACTGGAGAACAAGGGAGGTTTAGGTTGGACATTAGGAAAAACATCTTACCTTTCAGGGTGGTGAAACACTGGAATAAATTGTTTAGGGAGGTTGTGGAATCTCCATCACTGGAGATACTTAAGAGCAGGTTGGACAGACACCTGTCAGGGATGGTCTACAAGAATGAGGTTATGAAGTGTTACATGCCATGAGTGTAGAGGACTGGACTAGATGACCTCTCAAGGAGCCTCCCAGTTCTATAATTCTGTGGTTTGACTTTTTTGAAACACCAAATAAATCCAGAGTCCCGGGAGATGTAGAGTGAGGTCAACATGCACATTTCTCCATTGACCTAGCTACTATCTGTCTGGGACATGGATTACCTGCTCTGAGAAGGGAGCCCCTGCCATCACCATAAGAAGTGTCTATGCTGAATTACAAAAGCAGAGGCTCTGTAGCCTTTGAAGTGTAGCCACGCCATTGCACTGATCTGCTGGAAAAGCATCTAGTCTGGGTTTGAAGACATCTGGAGATGGAGATTCCACAAGCTCCTTTCACAGGTTGTCCCAAGGGGTAATCACCATCAGTGCTCAACATTTGGCTCTCATTTCCAGTTGTAATTTGTCTGGCTCAGCTTCCGTTCACTAGGGCGTGCCCTGCCTTTCTCCACTAGATTAAAGAGATCGGTATTACTGTTTATGATAAAAATACGAGACTCTTTATATCTCTTGCTGTCCGGCATTTTCTCCAGACTCCAATCAGTGGGGAGGGAAGAGGGGATTCATCACCCTTTCCAGTTTTCCAACATCCCTTTGAAATGTGAACCCGAAGACTAGACACAATCAGTGTAACCAAAGCCACGTGCAGAGGTAAAACCCTTCCTCTTACTCCAGCTCACCAGGGCCCCGTTCCCAGCCCCTGGGTGACAACTTTGCATTTGACTGTGTTGATCTATTTTCTTTGTACGTGGCTAGGTCACCAATTGCTTCAGATCAATCGCTGTGCCCGCCCTTGCCTCCTCCTTGCAACCACTTCCCCGGTCTTTGGTCCATCTGCAAATGGTATTTGCCGGGATTTTCTATTTGCTTCCAGGTCATTGATGAAAATGTTCAATGACACCAAGCCTAGAACTGGTACCTGCAGACCCTGCTGTGAATAACCCACTGATGGACAAAAAGCTGTGTAAGAGCTGTCAGTGAGCCAGTTTTTAGTCCCTGCAATGTGTGTGCTACTAATATGGGATGTTTTCATTTATCTGAACATTTTCCCCTAGAAAATCAAGTGCCTCAGAGAGATCCGTCTCTTGCATGTGGGCACTTTCCTCTATTGGTCAAACATGTCCTCTCATTAAAGGGTGAAATCAGGTTGATTTGACCTTGCTCTGGGGGTTATTTTTTTTCAGCTAATCCCAAACAAGGTTTTCTATTGTTTCCTAAGCCGGTCAAATCTGTTCCCCAAAACCTGCCCTTTTAAAAAGACTTTATTTTGAACACACAACTATTCGGTAGTTGTCTTTTTTTATATGTGGATTTGATTCTTCCTCATAGTGCACTCTGGTGCCGAAGGAGATGTGTTATTCTTCAGCGACCGCGTAACTCTGGGGTTCAAAACTCAGGGTCTATTATTCTCCTTCACTGCTAATGGGCTGGAAAGCATTTCATCTCTGCAGGTGACCTGAATGCCTCTCTCTCCGCAATTATGGATAAAGAACACATCTGTCAGGGCTGTTGCCCGCTCTGGCGCTCTGAGCGCAGATGGAGAGAGCCTGCAAGGGACCTTAAAATACCTTTCCTCTAAAGGCTTCTGTTTGAAAAACCTCCCCAAAGTCACAGATTCTCTCGCATTGGGAGAGAGCCTACCACCACCCAGGTAAAACAAAGAAACACGCAAAATCAACAACCTTCATTTTTCTTGAACCCAGGAAGATGCACTTTGGAACTTCTTCCAGAGGGGTCCCATAAGCTCTTTTACCACTGGAGAGTTTAAAAAAAAGAGAACAAACTGCAGTCTCTGATAGCTGGCCGCTCAGTCATAGGCAGGCCCACACAGACCTTCTGTTACCTTCTAGGGCACTAGGATCAGATCATAGCCTTTAAAAAGGTGATTTTATTAACAAACAACAGATATACTTGGTACCGCATACTTGGTAGTGAGGTATATAAAGCAACTGAGAAAAGAACACATTTAAACACAGAGAATTGTGCCCCTGGGATTCAACTTTAAAGTTACAGTGTGTGTGGGAGGGCACTTGGACTTAGCTGCCTGTCAGGGTGGTTAAACACTGGAATAAATTGTCTATTGAGGTTGTGGAATCTCCATCACTGGAGATATTTCAGAGCAGGTTGGACAGACACCTGTCAGGGATCATCTAGACAGTGGTCAGTCCAGTAGATAACTTCTTGAGGTCCCTTCCAGTTCTAGTGTTCTATGAAAGAAAATAACCTGATCACGTCTAAAGAAACATTCCCTATCTACTCACACAGCTGTGCTTCAAGGTTGAGTTCATTTCTATGCCTGGATATTCCTTTGTTAGGCATGGTAGTCCTGCTCGGTTCAATTCATCTCTCTCCCCTCCTTCCCCACCCGGATCCTTATTTAGAATCACACAAAGAAAAACAGCAGGCAGGTTCCCTTCCATTTCAAATCTCAACTCTTTCTTCCCATTGGTTCTCCTGGCTCCCTGCCAACACTTTCTAGCTACCTGGGTTTAACCCTGTATTTTGGGATCTTTAAAAAAGGACAGCACCTCTCCCATCCATCACAGCATCTGTTTCTTGAACACATCTACCTTTCCTCTAACATTCAAAAGTTTCCTTTCTCCCTCTAGGATCATGTCCTAACTGTTCTCTAGGATTTCCTTTGTTCTTAGCATACTTCATAACCTCCTTCTGCTGCCCCTAAGTCATGCCAAGCAGGGATTTCTCCATGTCTTTTACTTCCCTTATCAATTTTCATAACTTCCAATTTCTATTATTTGCTCTCTGTTTCCCCTTTTCCCATTTATTTTACCTTCTTCCACCCGCTACAACTTCTGTCCTCCCTTTTTTCTCTTAACTGTGTTTTTAGCCAAAGTTGCCCATCTACTAGACTGGGGAATCATGGCTCTTTAGCTATCTAATACATTCTTTTTAAAGAACCTTTCTTTGTAATCCTAGGGTGTGTCTAAACTACACCCCTCTGCCAACACAGGGATGCAGATTAGGCACGTTGCTATTGCAAATGAAGTGGGGCTTTAAATATCCCGTGCTTCATTTGAATAAAAATGGCAGCCTCTTTTTGCTGACGTGGCACTTAGCTGGCAAAAAGCGGCAGTCTAGACGTAGATCGGTCGACAAGGAAAGCCTTTTCCGACCGATCCCTTATGCCTTGTGCAATGAGGTTTACAGGATTGGTCGGAAAAGGCTTTCCTTGTTGACAGATACCCGTCTAGACTGCCGCTTTTTGCTGGCAAAGTGCCGTGTTGGCAAAAAGCAGTGGCCATTTTTATTCAAATGAAGCACAGGATATTTAAATTCCTGCTTCATTTGTAATTGCGATGTGTCTAATCTACACCCCTCTGTCGGTAGAGCGGTGTAGTTTAGACACAACCTTAGTGTCCTGTTTCAATTTTTCCTCCCAGCAGTTCAGCTATGAGCAATTAGCACCTTTGAAGCACGAAGTGTCTGTAGATGTTGCAGGTTTGGAACTGTTCAGCATTTGTCCAATTCAGTGATACCAATTATATTGTTTATTTGTCCATCCTTCACACTATTCCCCCTTCTTTATCTCATCTCTAAACTAAACAGTCTTGGACTATTCAGTCTGCCTACCTGTTGCAACCATTCCATTCTCAGAGCTTGTCTCGGAAACCCCCTTTCAATCCGCTCTGTCCTCTAGAGAGACTGGGTAACCAAGACTGAGCCTACGACCAAAGCAGGCTATTCTCCGCCCCCTTTGTTTGTCACCCAGACATCGTCTTTGTTCTGGGCACTGCAGGTGTTGCTGTTGAGCTACTATGTGTGATGCCTGGGTCTTTCCCCTGAGGTGAATTCTGGTTGGGAATTTCCCCCAGCAAACGTCTTCCCAACGGCTTTGTTTGTTTCACTCCCAGATTTTGAGCAACTTGGTGAATGGGAAAGTCCTTGCCATGTGGGCTGCCTGGCCTGGGTTGCAGGAAGGAGAAATGATGGATGGCCCATATCCACCCAATGATCCCTGCTGGTGTCAGTAAGGTTTCCCACATCTTACTGTGTGGGAATTATGGACACAGGGAGCATCATGAATTATGGAATTGGCATTAGCAGGCTCAGTGTTTCCTAATTCATTTCTCTGAATAATGAACATGCCATTTGTCAGGGTGGTAAGGGGCCAGTCTGCTTCAGCTAGTATATCTGCCTCCACTTTTATACGCTGTGCCTCATATTAACATTGTTTTTTCATCTAGGTACTTGTACTTGGGCCGTCACCCAAGACCCTGGGCACATACAAAAAGCAAGAAGAACACATAATACAAGTCGGAGAGACGATTCTGCCCAAAGTTGGATGCTTTCTCAACTACTTCATGCCAGATTCCAACACAACCGACTTCACCAACCCGTCCACTTTCATCCTGCTGGGCATCCCTGGTCTGGAGGCGGCCCACGTTTGGATCGCCATCCCCTTCTGCGCCATGTACGCCATCGCCCTCTTGGGGAACTTCACCATCCTGTTCATCATAAAGAGGGAGCTGAGCCTTCATGGGCCCATGTACTATTTCCTCTGCATGCTGGCCGTCATTGATTTGGTCGTGTGTACATCCACTGTTCCCAAAATGCTGCGCATCTTCTGGTTCAATTCAAGGGAGATCAATTTCAGTGCCTGCCTCACCCAGCTGTTCTTCATTCATAGCTTCTCAGGGATGGAGTCTGGGATATTGGTGGCCATGGCTTTCGATCGCTACGTGGCCATTTGTGATCCTCTGAGACATTCCACCATCCTGACAAACCATGTGGTAGCAAAGATTGGCCTAACCGTGGTGCTGCGCAGCAGCATCATCTCACTGCCCTACCCCTTCCTGGTGAGGCAGTGGCCGTATTGCAGAACCAATGTCATCCCTGAGCCGTTCTGCGTGCACATTGCCGTGGTGAAGCTGGCCTGTGCCGACACCCGTGTGAGCAGTTACTATGGCCTCTTTGCGCTATTCTGTGTGTTGGGTCTGGATGCAATTTTTATTGTAATATCCTACATCCAGATCCTCAGGGCCATCTTTAGACTTCCCACCAGGGATGCCCGGCACAAGACTTTTGGGACTTGTAGCTCACACCTCTGTGCTATCCTAATCTTCTACATCCCCGGTCTCTTCTCCTCCCTGACATACCGGTTTGGCCAGAATGTGCCCCAGCATTTCCATGTTCTTATTGGCAACGTGTACCTTCTGGTGCCCCCCATGCTCAACCCCATCATCTATGGGGTGAGGACCAGTCAGATCTGGAAGAGCCTCTTCTGATTCTTTGCTCATAAAGGGCCTTAACATTTTTGCCTGGTGCCCTGGCTCTTAGAATGCTCTTCCCTGAATCTCTCACCTTGCCATCAGAGACATTCCCCCTACTTATTTCTCCAAGCCCCGCCAAATCCCACCTACTCCATTGGGACCTAGCCCCCATCTCCACGTCTTCTGCCATCTCCCTGTGCTTGTCCCTGTCTTTTATACTGTTCCATCCTCATCACTCAATGGATCTTCTCCACCTCCAACCCTGCTCTACCTCGGCCCTCTGAAGAAGGCAGGGGCGATTTGCGGTTAATGACTCAGTACCTTGTTGCTGCCTTGCAAGAGCCAGACACAGCCAGATCCCCTTTGAGACACAGGTTCTGCTCGCAAGGAGTAACTACAGTCGAGATAAAACCCGTTTTCTTCAGTTACTCTACAGAGGGGCAGGTGTGGGAGGGATAGAACCTCCATAGAAGAGGGATCAGGGACATGAGTGGTTGGTCCAGCCCTTCAAAACAACAGTGACCAGGGGAGCCAGAAGATGCTGGGGAAGGAGAGAGGCCCAAGGGTGGCTGAGGGGACTCTAGGAGCAGGGCTGTGGCTGCAGCAGAGACAGACTCCAGCTGGGGAAGAAGCCAGGACTTGAAGGAAGAGGCCGCTGGACACGCTAGAGGGCGTCCACATGCGGGAGTTATTTCAAAATAACAAGGTGAGCAGCTACATACGAAGCCGGTTCTGTCGAAAGAACAACTCCTGCTTAGGAAGAGGAATCAGCTTATTTCAAAATAGTTATTTCGGGTGTTATTTTGTTGAAATACCCTGGGAGTGCAGACGTAGCCAACGTGTGCTCCTGGCGGATGGGAAGAAAGTGAGGCACATTGGAAAACATAACCCCAACCACACCTATGAAATGATGGGATCTAAATTATAGCCAAGGATGTTAGTTCATTAATCATTTATCAGGTGATGTTATGCTTAGGCAAAAGGTGTATGTTAATTAAAATGAAATGGTGAGGCTATAGATGTGTAGGACCGATCAGTAGTGAGGGGAACCCAGTGCTAGACATGAGTAGGAGAAACTGGAAGGCAGGATCCTGTAGGCTGAAGTCTACAAGACTATTTTAGGCCTTGAAAACTAGAAATAGTAACATAAGTGACTGGAAAATACCCTGTGCTCTCAGACTCTGAGAAAGTAGCTAAGTGATAAAATTGTGCAAAATGAATCATAAAATGCAGTAAAAGTGTGTCTGTCTCAGACCCGTGTTTTAATCTCAGGGTACAGGTTCTGAATCAGCGCTGATGCAAATAAAGGGACTACACTGACCCTCTCAAAATTGCAGTAGTAAGGTTTTCAGGGGACACGGCTCAATGAGCGAAGAGGGCTGGCACTGTTATGGCCATACACAGGATGTAGCTGCAGTCAGAATTATGTTACACAAACGGGAGCCCGGAATGGGAAAACTGAGCTTCCTCTAGGAGACTCCAGCCGGACCATCGCTCACCGGATGCCCCCACCATGAGAGCCCCATCGGACCCTAACACTGTTTTTATGGTGGAGTGTGACTGTTTTTGTACCTGGGCATAAGTACGTGTGGGATTTCTACATGCTCGGGTAATCGTAGGGTTCACTGTAACTGTAATAAAACATAAACCAGACTAGACTTTGTCCCTATGGCTGTACCTGTGGTTGCTTCCTTCGGTCGGCTTGTGTTCCTGCAGACTCTATCTTTGAGTAAGCAGCAGAGGTGACTCTCTCTGTGTAGCCACCAGGGCCCAAGCCATGGTGGTGCAACAGCACCATGCAGAATAAATAAAAGAAAGGCTAAAAAATCAATGCTCCCTCTTCTTTTTTTCCATGCGCGTGCAGAATCAATTTTGCTATGTGCCCTGCTGTGTGTAAGGTGTGGAAATGCACCACCAGGAGTCCGTCTACACAGCAGAGCAAAAGTCGAATGAAGTGACGGAACTTGAGCTACGTCAATTGTACAGATGAAATGGAAATAGCTGAACTCAGCTTTTGGCGCTATATGCACAGCAGGAAGCCGAAGGCAGAACTCTCTCCATTCCACTTCCCTTACCCCTCGTGAAATGAGGGTTACGGGAGTCAGTGTGAGAAGTCCCCCAGCTCGACATTATGTTGAAATAGTGGCTTGCAGTGTGGATGCACTAACACTGCTGTGTAGATGGACCCCAGTAGAAAATCCCTTGAGCTATTATATACATATATTGATGTATCTGCATGTGCATAACATTGTGGGTGTAAATAGATATAAACATGGAGAGAACTCCTACGCAAGGGCCCCCTGCATTTTTATTTGCCCACCGACAAGCTGAAGAGGAGAAGAGGCAAGGAGGAAGGGGAGACTGGCTTCTAGCGACTCCTGCTGTACCTGGAAACCTCTCTCCTCATTGTAACAGAACCTGTGGTTCAAGGATCGGCCATATATATATGTTACTCATTGTAAGTATCTATATCGCCAGCCAGGGCAGACTGGGTATTTCAGAACTCACTGCCCAAAGCATTCCATTTACACACGAGGGAGCAATAACATTTTGAAATGTTCAGAGCTGTCATAAGAACAGCCAGACTGGGTCAGACCAAAGATCCATCTAGCCCAGTGTCCTGTCTGCCTACAGTGGACAATACCAGATGCCCCATAGAGAGGGATCTCAACAGGTAATCCTCACTTGATCCCTCCTCTATCACCCAACTCCCGAGAAACAGAGGCCAGGGACACCATTCCTACCCATCCTGGCCAATAGCCATTGATGGACCTAACCTCCATGAATCTATCTAGCTCTTTTTTGAACCATGTTAAAGTTCTAGCTTTCACTGCATCCTCTGGCAAGGAGTTCCACAGGTTGACTGTGTGCTGAGTGAAGAAAAACTTTCTTTTGTTTGTTTTAAACTTGCTGCCCATTAATTTCATTTGGCTACCCCTAGTTCTAATACTGTGGGAATAAGTAAATAACTTCTCCTTATTGACTTTCTCCACACCACTCATGATTTTATATACCTCTACTCAAACTCTAAACTAGCAGAGAAGGGGTACATGGGTGGGGGAAGGTGGGGTGGACTAAGGTAGAGAAGGAAGTGGCCGCCAGGATTCCTCATCCACAGTAGATGGCAATAGGTCGCTCCCTGTTGTGTTGAGGCAGAACACAATGGTGAGGAAACTCAGAGTGCACAACAGGAGTGTGTACAAGTGTGCCCTCAGCGTGGTTTCAAAGTGAACTGGCTGCAAGTCCTGCATCTGGCTCCAGCTACACGGGTGGGAAAGTTTGAGGGGACAGGGTCACAGGTCAGGAGGGCCCAGGAGGTAGAGTGGGGGAGGAGCAGCTGCCCCCAGGTTGCATTCGTGGTAGAAGGGAGAAGTGGTTTGCAGAGTCCCCCTTGGCGCTTCAGAGGCTGATCCTGGAAGAAGTCACCAGAAATGAACCCCCCCTCCCCCCGGGCAGGACTGGGGAGAGTGGGCAGATGCCCTGACACTGGAGCATCCTTCAGGTGAAGAAAGGGGAGAAATTTCTCATTCATATCCAGCCCATTCCGAGTGTGACGCCGATGTGGGGTTGGGTTTCTTGGCTAGATAACCTGCCTGGATGTATTTGTTCTCTCCCATAGTCACTACCCACCCACCTGTGTGTGGTTCAGAGGGGTTTTGGCTACCCCGGTCTGCCTCCGAGTGAAGAGTCCGGGACAATCTCAGCATGTGAAACAAGCCCTGGGGAGGGACCGTAGCTGGGATAGTGATGCAGATGGAGCCATCATTCGATTCCTTTTCTGTTGTATTTCTGTCCCAGCCGGGCCCGACTCCCGAAAACACCACTGTGCTGAAAAGGGCCCCGGGCAACCCCACTTGGCTGTTCCCCCCAAAATTCGGGATAGGGTGGGAGATGGGGAGGTCGCTTTGCCCTGGGTGTGGGGGAGGAATCACACTGTGAATGGAGAAGTCCCCTTGGACATGCCCTGACCTGGGCCAGCCCAGCGGATTTCTGCACTGATCTCCGCCAGACCGACACGGTCAGAACGTTAGCCCCGTGCCTGGGGTGGAGCAGCTGAACCATTTGCACCGTTGGGGGCTGCAGGGTCTAGATTGCTGCTGCACTCACGACGCTAGCAGGCTGGGAGAAGGACGCCTTTCCCCTCCCAATGGGCTTGCAGTCAGGCAGGATCCCATCCCTGGGCCTCCACCAGGTGGCAGTGACTTTTCAGGAGCTAATAGACTGGGTACGATAACTCTTGGGCGCCAGGCAGAGCCAAGTTCCCTGCCACGATCGATGGAGAATGGGGGTTTGGTCCAGTGTCCCGCAGCAGGATTCCCAGGCATTGTGCAGGTGGCAATTCATTAACCACAGCGAACCCACCTCCAGGGTGTGGGATGAATAATCCAAAAGGCCCAGTCTGCCCTGAGCGCGTGGGCCCCATTACCGACCTGCCATTTCTGCGCTCCCAGGAGAGGCTCACATGCTGCCATTCTCCAGGGGCGATTCCCTGCTCGCCTCTCGCTCACGGAGCCCGGGGATTGTCTGGGAGCCTGCCAAGCCAAGAGCTCGCTGGGACTCAGGAGGGGACTCATAAAGGTTGCGGCCCAGCATGGCGCGTGACAGACAGGAAAGAGTCACACCCCGAGTGTCAGGGCTCTGCCTCCCCATGCAGAGAGGAGCGTTCCTCTCCCGCAGGACGGGATTGGGGTGAGTTGGGTCTTTGTGCATTAACGTGAGGGCCGAGGGGTCAGGGGGAGTCCATGTCTCAAGGCAAGAGACCCCAGGGCGGGAATTCACCAGCATGGCGACTGGAATGGCTCAGGATGGTCAGAAACACCCAGGGATCTGGCTGGTAAAAGAGGCACGAAAAACACATCAAACGGTGCGGATGCATATTTGCTTCTCAGAGCAGTTCCTTGTCTCTCGTCCTGTCCTGTCTGTCTCAGTAGTTTAATTTGGGGGCTTTGGGTTTCCCGCTGCTTTCCCAAGTGCTCCAGCTTCAGCAGCTTCCCCGTGCTGGGGGAAGTGCAGCC